GATGCTAAGTTCTTGAAACTAAGCGATGAATGTATCAACGGCCGTGGAGCGTTGACAACCCGTGACTAAACCTAACGAGACTTCACTGGCGGTTGCATCGGCCTCCTCTAAGATCAGCGATAATATTTAGTAGAGAACGCAAATAGATGGCAGAGCTATCTAAATGTTATTGTCGCCCACGAGCGCTTAATAACACTAAGACCTCATTAAGGCCTATCAACATAATAGGGTTAGGGATCGCTCGCTTGTAAGGCTGAAACCACACCGTTACAAAGGGCCTGAACCGCAAGCTTTCGATCACGCAACACCACTACCTGTTCATCGCAGAGCTGCAGAAGGATGTTACTGTCGCTTGCTAGCCACTCATATGATTCAAGAAGCTGTCGCTGCTCATCCTCAAGTCGCATTTTCTCGGCAGATTTGATGACGTAGCATTCCCATAGGGAAAAGTACAAGTCAAGCAGCTTGAGAGCTAGTGTAGCAAGAGTGTCATTATAGTGTAAAAGTTTCGTAAACTCCACCGTAAGGACACGGGGTATCACTGGACTCTGCGCAGTATTAGTACTTTTGTTCGTTTCCTGCCGAAGAGGATATGACCGACCTTGGCTTCGATAGTTGTGCCGTTTGAAGATTGCTGTGGATGGGTTTCTAACTTGGACAGATATTCTGCATCCCGCGATACCCGACGCTGTCTCTTGGCTGGCCGGTCAATTGGGGAAGGCAACGTGGGATAGTCCATTTTGGTCAGTTTGGTCATAATATGTTGATTAGGATATCGTGCTGGAGAGGAATTTATAGACTGGCAAACGCTGCACCGAGTCTATTGGTATCCACCATTGTCCTCCCGGCCTGGGAATAGACCGCACATTGAAAGTGTCAGTGGAAAGTTCATTCAACTGTTGACACTCGATCTCACCTGCTGCTCACCGCAAGCTACTCAATATATGCGAGAATGAGCAATAGATGAAGCCTTGAAGCGAGGTATTGCAGAAACCACCTCCTAATGGTAGTTTGTAAGTGTAAATTTGACGCATTGGATGCTATGCATTAAGTAGAAATCGTAGAAGTTTTACTGTGACGTTATTGTGACTGAAAGCTATTCGAAGAGTGGAGGTGCAGATAATTGATTCCGAGTGTTGATATCAAGTGACGCTGAAAACAGTCATTCTCGCATTTTATTACGAGAGGTGTAGATGTCGTTAGCTCTTACAGACCACCAAACCTTGTCCCCGGAGACCGCTTCAACAATGTTTGAGGGATGTTGTCGTCTTCCATTCTGATTCGAATGGCCCTCTTGATACAATCGTCCCTTGCTATATCCAGGGATCTCTTTAAACTGAAGTATTTGAGTCCGGGATTTGCCACAAGTGCATTAACAATCGAGAAATGTCCACCCTTGACCGCTAATATCAATGGATCCTTAAACCATCGATTTCTGATGTTGACGTTAATTCGATCATGGCGTAGGAGTGCCTGGACCATCTCCAAGTCACCGCCACGGGCAGCAATGCAGAGAGTAGTGTCGTGGGCCGCGATCGTGCTCTTATTGATGTACAGACGTGCGCCTTGCTGCACTAAAAGTCTTACCACATCGAGATAGCTATGTGCAACCGCTCGACAAATGGGCGGATCTACTAAATCCCTTCCATTGATCTCCACGCCATCTATACGCAACAGACAAGCAACCGTGTTCACGCGTCCGTGCGATGCGGCAACCGATATTGGAGAATGGCCTGTAACACAGAGATTTGGGTCGATCCCTGGCACTGCAAGCAGCTGTCGTAGGATCACGGTATCCAGTCTGGTCGCGGCGTGGTGTAGAGATGTAGATGGCGTCTCGAATCTCCCGCGGCCTCCAACCAAATTAACGTTGATGTCTTTCTCGGCCAACAGCCTATCAGTTATCTCGTCGTATGACGAGTAAGTAGACAGCCAAAGTGGCGTATTGCCATCTTTGTCTTTGTAGTTCACGTTGACACGGGGGTGACTTAGGAGCAAATTGACCATTTCTAGGCGTTTGCTTTGAATGGCGAGATGGAGCGGCGTATAGCCTTTCCGGTTCTGGATGTCTAAATTCAGACCCTTTTGTCCGAGAAGTCGTTTAACAGCATCTACCGACCTATAGGATACTGCTTGGTGAAGAGGTAGCTCAGCATCCTATGATGATTGAGTACCAAGAAATACCTCGGACTTCGGATCGTTTGAAAAAATCATTTCCATCATGGGCCTGTTGAAGCGACGTGCCCAGTCCTATGGCGAGTGGCCTAATTCATCCTGTAGATTAGAGTCGCTGCCACTAGAAAGTAGCAGATGCACGAACCCTATTCTGCCTGCGAAGACTGCTAGGTGGAGCGCCGTTCGGCCGTGTTTGTGTTTGACGTCCACTCTGACGCTGGGTTGTTCTAGGATGCTCTTGACGGTGGAGAAATTTCTATAGTGGATGGCATACGATAGGGCGCTGTCGCGCGCTTGATTTTGGATGTTGATGTTTAGGTCTCGACGATGGAGCAAGAGTTCACGCATAGCAGCGGAAGAGTATTTTAGCGCCCTCATTAAAGGAGTTTTGCCTCGGTAAAATGCATTGATATTGGCATTGTGCTGGAGCAAAACCTCCGTAAGACCAACGTTGTCATATTTGACGGCCAGGTGCAACAGATTGCTATTCTGAAATTTGATGTTGTATTTCTAGATGCTAGGTTGCAGTCTAAAATGAAGGCTTTTGCATGATTTTGCGAGGGCAAATAATGCACTGCCGTCCAAATGCGACACAATCCACAGTAAAAGCTCGTTGGGCAGGTATATGAGGTTTGGCTGTGATTTGTTAGCTCGTCGGTATATTTAGTAAGAACGTATTGAAACAGACCATGATTGGACAGTAGGTTGGAGCTAGGAAGCAAACGAAATGTAGATGACGGTGAGGTGAGATGTGTGAAAGTTGGATATGGGAGGCCTTTATATACTCGCCTCGGCTAAACCCCGTGGTCAGCTAGGAGTGTAGCCTGTCACTCTGCTGAGATGCGTAGCAATCACACGGCAGCATCAACACCTTGACAACAACTTTTAGGCGGAGTTGGAGAATCTCTGGATTCCAGCTCCTGGGAACGCCAAATTTGTTCCTGGTAGTGTGTCAAGGGCTCTGGGGGACCGAATTTATCTTAGTACCCACTTCTCGCATCTAGCGTATGAGCGTTGGAGCAAATCACTACCTGCACGCACTTCGAAATGTATAGAGGCAACTCGAAATTTTGCCGACTATGCTACTAAGAACTATAGCCAATCCTTTTGCCAATGCATGGTCGTTGCAATCTACAGCCGCAAGTGTAGCTGATTTGGGCAGCAGTGATCTGGAATTCTATTACTTCTCGCAAGCCACTGATCGGCCTATACCGGCGCATACTGCATCTAAATGCATTCTTCGACGTATCTAGTGTTTTAAGGAAGGCTTCGCATGCTAGCAGCCAGCAGCCACAGCCACGTAGCCACGTAGGTAAGGAGATTATGGCGATGGCATATAAAGCTGGCGAGGGAACGCTGCAGAGATTGTCTAACACTAATTCCCATCCGAAGCATTTTCTGCCTTTGTCCACCACCTCAATGTCCACCATGCTGCCTTGGAATCCGCTTTTTGTTTGTGAGATAGAAGTCAGCCCCAATGGCGGTCCTGGCTTCTGTTGCGGGATGACGAAAAAAGGCGCTCTATGCAAAAACTCGATCAAACTTGAAGACACCAAGATAGGCCATTAAAAGCTGAACACTGTCGCCAGAGAGCCGTTTGACCTGTCAAATTTGCAATCGAAGCTCTGTGCTATTGCCAAAGAATTCCTCTGTGCAAGGTGGCATAGGCAACGACAGGCCGATGGGGTTGGCTAGCAGTGGTATGAAGCAGCTGTCCGCAACCAGGCGCGAGTGCCACATGACTCTAGAGTTGCATCTCCATCCATTGTGCATCCGGGCCAGCGTCAGGTGTCGTTAGGCTCCAGGAGACACCTGGCGGGATCAGGCAACACTGACCGGTCACCTCCTCACGGGCGCAGACAAGACCGGCCGGTGCCCCTGTCAACCAGCTCCGAGCCGGTGCAATCAATCAATCCCTTTGTCACTGCCGAAATGCTGCGGACCAACAGTGTTCCATGGCACGTTCCGCCGGCTCGACCAGCTATCCTGACGTCGGTCACTAATATCTGGGCGGGTGTCCAAGACTTGACGCTCCGGAGTCTCAGCTTGAGTGAAGAGCTCGAAAACATCCACTGTGTGTTTTGTTTGGCCGAAGATGAGGAACAAGCCCACGAGTGCGTAATCCTGCGCTGCGACCAGTGCCGAGCGCTTTCCCATCTGTCCTGCGCGGAAGAGTGGTTGGAAAACCGACGTACAGGATTTGGCATATCATGCTGCGCGTGGTAAGTACACGTAGTCCGGGATAGGAGTTGCCAGTCTTCACCGCCGGAACTATCAGCATTCGCGTTCCTCTACATCAGATTCGCCGAGAAGCAATTGCTTGATCTGTCTGTCAACTTCAAGATGGTAATTGGTCTCCAACGCTAGTTACTAATTTAGTGGCCAGATTGACCGTGGCTTGTGAGGGGTCCTCGAATCACATTTCGAACTAGGCCTAGCTGTTTCCTATCCTCTGTCGACAAACAGGACCACACCAAGGCAAATTTGGAGCGACTGTTGTCCTTTAACTGCCAGCTGACGTCTGAGTGCTTTAGAGAAGGAGAATCATTCACTTTATCGGTCATCGCCACAGAAGTACCTTGTCTATAGTGTATCAATTATGCGGGCCTTGGTCTAGGAGCAGACACTGCATAATTGCAAACTGGCCTGGGTTAGCCATGCCCTGCCTCCTAAGTCCCGCTATTGCCTCCCCGGCTAGGCGACACCCCGATTTGACTCGTGAGCGATATAATTAGTATATAAAAGAAAACGGTAGTTTTACAAATTGACCCGTCGCTTTGCACCATATCACACATATACTGAACAATGATGGCTGCCAGAATATGCTATCGCCCCACTGCTCCATACCAGGATAACCCTAAGATAGCACCCATTACAATTGCCACGGATGGGGGCACATTGAACCAAGCACTCCCTAAATATGTTACCGCCGCAACAACCACCCACCATGGTTCCTTACCCAGACTCTGTCCGTCGCTTCTTTCAGAAGTCAAGTATCCAATCTCCCACAGCCGGTATACAGCTGTGAATACTAGCCCCACTGCAGTGGCATTCACTCCTCTGAGGAAGTCGACCACGTACTTCTTCTTCCGCAACACACGCCAGAAGCTTTGGATTGCAACGGCTAGCGTGATTCCCGGAAGGAAGATTCCTAAACCGCCGAGGAACGCACCGAAGACGGTCGGGAATTGCGAGCCCTGGAGTGCTAACGCCCCCAAGAAGACAGCGAAGTTGAAGTTGGGACCGGGAAAGGCTTGAATAATGGCAAGGCCGATCAGGAAGTCTCTACTAGAGACCCAACCGGGATCGACGACATAGGAGCGTAAGAGGGGAATGACAACAGGACCTCCACCAAAGATGACAGTGCCAGCAAGATACATATTGGCAAAGAGGTCGAGGACCAGTGGGGGTACAACCTATCTCTCCGAAGCATATTCGCCAAAAAGTATTGCTACCGACTTAAGAGACCCTTCTGTTACTTTTGTGGTAGCTATGAAGGACGAATCTCTTGTCGGGTTTCTCCAGCTCAGACGCGGTACGTCCGAGAGATGCATCGACAAGATGGAAAACAAGATTCAGTTGCAGCGGTTGTATGTCAGTGAAAGTTGCCAAGGGCTAGGGATCGGAAAGCATCTGTTGGCGCGAGCAGAGAAGGAAGCGAGGGGTATGGGAGGCAAGAATATTTGGCTCGCATCATGGAAGCCAAATCTCAAAGCTGAACGCCTATATGAGAGCACTGGATACTTAAAGGCTGGGGAGATGGCATTCACGTTGGGAAATTCTAGGCTGGAAGATTGGGTCATGATCAAATCGATTTAAAGTATAGAAGCGACAATGCCTCAGGAATTGCTGAATATCTGTCATTCTAGAAGCAAGTATATCACTTGATAACTCATGCCTTAGATTGAACCTAGCAAGAATAATGGCCACAAACAGAACAGAATTCACGCTTGGATCAATACCAGCTCCTCATTACTACAAATCCACGGTTAGCTCTGCACTAGTTGGCTGCGAATCGTGCATGCACGCACTTGCGCTCAACCCTTCACGACTCGCATGATTAGCGCATCCTTTCAGCCAGACTGTTTGGTTTGTGCGAAACTCAAAGCGCAGACGGAATACTCCATCCCCTTAGCAGCAAATCGTCGATCAGGTTGATCCTTGTAATCACCCAGGAATAGCCTCCGGAAAATCGCGGACACAAGAATAATCCCCAAGACCCGGAAAAGATTTACTGACCTAAATTTGTGAAACGCTTGCAGTACGAATAAGAGACTTGGTCTCGCTTGCCTCAAATTGGCGAACTAGAGGAATTCCTGTAGCATGTGTATAGTAGTTGTATTGTTGTGGAGTTATATGGGTCACAATCCAGTAATATAGGTACCGATCTAACCCTAATGCATGAGTAATTACCAACCAGAAGGCTAAGATGGGAGTAAGAGGACCCGCATTTATAGAAAGCGCTATACCCGAAAGGGAAAGGCAATTGGTCAATAATGTGTAGAGGTGAGCGACGCACTTTAGGTGAGAAGGCAGGCAAAAATTTGCGCCGAATGAAGTCCCTTCCTCTCATATCGTCTGTTTCAGGGCACTATAAAAAAAGATGTGCTCCACCAGAAAAATTTGCCACACTAACGGCCAAACGAAAGTTGGCCGATCAGTGGATCCACTGAATCAGTCACTACGCGAGGGTAACTGGAAACTGTTAGCACAACCTTGCTGTACGTACCTGAGATCGCTGGGGTAAAATCATCGTGTATTGTGTAGATGGCCGAATAGGGTTTCCTCGGCAAAGGTGCATAGTAGATTCTCGTCTAATGATTGGGTCTCGCAACCGTTCAAATATTAAGCACGACCGATTTAGGTCGTTCTCAAATGAACGATTGACCCCGTTCGATTACCGAGGCATCGGTGCTGATATGTCAAATCGACGCCTTTTCTAACAAGTACTCGAAGAACAATATACTGAGGACTCGAAATTTTGATACAGGCGTACAACCTTTTGACAGCCCGGACTATCAGCAGGCGTTGACCCGCCGAGCAAAACGTTTTTGTCCGTGTTTTTTACTCATCAAAAAAAAAAACCCGAAAGTGAAATTTACTGGTTATTAACAACCAGCAAGCTCCCTCCTGCCTCGGCTGAGGATTAGTCAAGTCTTAGAGAAACGGACAGCGGACCGATCTCTCTCTTCCTTCCTTGATTTTCAATCAACTTGGACTTCATATTGTATAAATATAGCCTCTTGAACCCCGTCAGAAACAAGAAGAATAACCATTTCTCTAAATTACAACAGAAATCTCGGAGAAGCTTGTACTTGCTGACCCACTCCAAGACGATCAGCTTGAGCTCGAAGGTGAGAAAGTGATGGTGATCCAAATCGGCCACACCGATTGCGACAGTATCACCGCACTCCGGATGCCGTCGACCGATCCGGTGGTGGCTGGCTACTCAGTATACGGCAATACTCATTACTCATCCGTATCTCGACGAGTCATCTACTAAGGAAGCGTGATTGGCATGAATCACCGCCTTTGATAAGGGACCAGCCCAAATTTGTGGTTAAAGGTCACAGTGGTCCACAGAAGGGCTTCGCGCCAGTAGGAATGGCCGAGACTAAAAAGGATTTGGAGGAATTCGAACGTGCCACGCAGCAATTTACTACGGCTAAGGTAATATACAATAATATGCCGCACCTACACCCTGGCCGGCTGAATCCTGGCTCTATGGGGAGGTGCGGCACAAGCCGCAAAATGGAGATCATTAGCTAATTCGCATAGACTTTGGTGGCTGTTTTCCCGGATTTAGGATTAAAAGGCGCGTATGCTGGGAGCCGGAGATAGGCAAAACCCCGAACTGTATCTTCAACCAAGGTCATCCTGGTCAGCTTGTCGATATAGTTGGGGGCTGGCCTGGTTCACTGGAGTGTTTATTACCGGGGTCCTTTCCCCGTAAGTCCTTGCAGATCCTTGGCATTTTACAGCACTACCATTGGAATAAAGAAGGTGTGAAGTGGCTGCCTAGATTATATTCCGAGAATTCTCTGGTTTAAGTGGGAACGGACCTATGGTTATTATTACAAATCAAAATGTGTACATCAAGAGATTGCTAATATATGCTTGCCTATTTTGTAAAAGCTTAGAAGTTTACTTGCCTCTAATATTGGGTATTTTTCCGTTCAGATATATTGAATTCATTTATAGATTGTCACGTCGCTCATGCAATTTACCACATAAATTGTCAATCGAGAAGTACTTCAATTCGACTGAAATTCTAGCCCGGTCCATGTTAGGTCTTGGACGGAAGTATAGCGTGGGAACGTATGGGGTTTACAAAAACTGGATACCCCGTGCCTAAATACCGATGTTTCACCGTGATAATGGGTATTATGCTTTTTTTATATAAATACATAGGATGGGGGTCAAGGTTGCTCTTTTCCCGTATCTTCTATGGACCAAGAGATGTCTTTGAAATTTCCAAATATGGAACTTCTACAACACCGCGGAAAATGTCCTGAACCTAAGTCAGTTGGCTCTCACCGCAAACATATCCATGTATGGCACTGAGACGTTCGAGCAATTGTGCTTTGACAAGGCGTTCAGGTTGGTTTATTCAGTGATTGCGTTCGCAGTAGACTGTTTCAATGGGCAATTTTAGCAATTGGCAGGACTTGTGTCCTTCCTGGATGATGGACCGTATACTAGTCTGCCTTGCACTTGCAGTCCCGTGGGTCCTGTAAAGGCGCTATCGTTTTAGTACTAGACGGGGATCCACCGCCAACATGAGGAAGAGTAATATACGCCTGTGACGAAGATGCAAAAGGGAGAAAAGTCATTAAGTTTTATTTTGACTGAAGCGTATAATGATGGAAGAATAATAAGCCATCCAAAGCACCAGGCCCTGCCTAAACAGGCGGAGAGGCGGAGTGGCAGGCCGTCAACAGGTGATTATCGATGATCTATCTATATTTGCTTTCGTTTATATAGACGCCGTGGGGACTTGATATTCATAGGTATTTTACTTTAGTAGCCTGTTAATCAAACATACAAGTAATGTCTGGTTTGATGGTGATGTTTCATCAAGCAGAGACAGATGTAATCACCTATTGGACCTTCTAACTGAGTCCCCCTACGAGCAATTGCCTCGTGAACCCTGTCTGGGGAAGCTGGAACTTAGGAGAATTAAGCTGATAGCTAAGTTTAGATAGGCAACCGTATTTGAGTCACCGGAACTTATAATATACCACTACAACCCTGTCGATCCCGGAAACACGGAGCGGGAGGGTCTGCCGAACAGTATACTGTGCCAAGAGGGCTGTCTCATTTGGTATTGGTATGGGATTACGCCTTCTGTTCTGGTATTCTACCTCCTGCTTGTATGACAACGAGAACTGCACTTGAATATCTAGCAAGTCTTCCCAATCAAATCGTCGTCACGCAATGAGATATATGAAGTGCATAGGATAGTGTTCGAAGTGCTCCTGGAATGGCCGTTATACAGGAATATTCTAGTACTCTAGTGCTCTTTCTAGGCTATTGAGAGTAGATATTAGCACATACCGTGAGTACAGTATTGTTTCGTAAATTCAACCAGAGACTCCTTATCTTATTCTTTGCATCCATACTAAAATGCTATTATTCCCTTTTTTGAACAAACGAGCAGTCTCTTACGAAACCCTACTCTTTGCCTATCGCAATTTAGGCTTTCATCTCATTCGCAGTTCTTATTGCTTCATGTGTTTCACACTGGAATCTATCCACTCATATAACTCGAAAAACTATGATGATCATTATCTGGGGGAAAGGACGGACCAAGTTCATCGCTGTCGGAATCGTGTCCCTCGTTCTCATACTCCTCATTCATCTGCTCGACTTCGCAAACCCCTTTTCCAACCCCGGCGAGCTGTCCGCTTCGATCGACGTAATTACTGCGTGCGCTATCTCTGATTTTGAACACCCCAACGACTCTCATTCTGTTGCCGTCCCACAAATCCCTAACGTTGTTCATCAAATATGGAAAACAAACGACCTCCGAACCTACTCTACGGAAATGGACGCATCGCACGACCGGTGGAAGCACGCTCTCGAGCCCCTAAACTACACAATCAAGCTTTGGACAGACGATGATATCCTCCAACTCATCAATGGAAGCTACGCTTGGCTTTTATCGACGTACGAAGCCTATCCCCAAAACGTACAACGTGCGGACATCGCAAGGCTGCTTGTCATCCATGCAGAGGGAGGAATATACGCAGACCTCGACGTTTACCCGACCTCGGCCACCAATATACAATGTCTCCAAAGTCTCAATCTAGAGGCTATATTCGCCCCTATGACGGGCACCGGAGGGCTGAGCAACCATTTCTTTATGGCGGCGCCCGGTTCCCCATTCCTCCAGTGGGTGCTATACGAGGGTAAGCGCCGCAGCGGTGCGACGTCTCGATTCATCCCACTGCCATACCTACAAGTCTTCTGGTCCACAGGGCCTACGATGGTGACGGCGGCATTTCGAAAGTACGCATGGCTATACGGCAGCCTACAAGACAATCTGGGCCTGTTGGACGATAGATATTCAACGGCGGTGATACAGCACAAGGCAGGTAGGTCATGGCATGGATCGGATGGGCGGGCCCTTAATTATATAGCGGACCATATAAGGATGGATAGTTTGATAGCGATCGTTGCTTTTCTTTCCATTATAGTGGGAGTCACCTGTGTTGTGAGAAGACGTTGTTTTTGAATTACCTTGGAATTTTCACGTACTTGGACATATCGCATGGGTGACAGTGGAAGAACAATGTCAGAAATCAGAAACTTGGTGG